TCACCTGTTCGCAAGCTCCTTGGTCGCTTGCCCACTGCCTTATAAAGCCCCTCCCCCTACCAAGGCTCAGCCAATCAGCAGAGGCTTCTAGAATTCAAACTTTAATTAGAAGCCAACAGTTTCCACCTGCCAATCACAGCCCCTACCAATCACAGCACAAACTCTATCAAGGGGAGGGGGGGAAGGGGGAAAAAAAAGCCTCACTCTCAAACACAGGGGAAAATAAATAAATAAACAAACAAAGAAACAAAAAAGCACACACACCAACCCTCACTCACAAACACAAGTTCAGCATACAGCAAGAAAGCCCCAAGCACAACACCCACTTCTCCCAAGACTCCTGTATCACAGCCCCTACCAATCACAGCACAAACTCTATCAAGGGGAGGGGGGAAAGGAAAAAAAAAAAAAACCCAACACACACCAAACACACTCAAGCTCTGCACACACTAAGAAAGCCCCAATAACAAAACACACTTCCCTCAAGAGTCCTGTATCTGCTTCTCCTTCACCTGGAGAACTCCCTCTCAAAACTCCCTGTTAGCAATCACCTGTTCGCAAGCTCCTTGGTCGCTTGCCCTAGTTCGGACTAAGGGGATTTAAAAATGGCACCGGATGAGAGGATGCAAATGAAGCCGGGATATTTAAATCCTGGGCTTCATTTGCAACTTCGAATGCCTGCATTAACCACCCTAGTTCGAATTAGGGGGCTAGTGTAGACATACCCCGAGGGAGTCTGACTCATGAGGGTTATCGCATGCGGCTGGCGATTCTGTCATGACGTCCCTATCCCACCGCACCCCCGACCCTCTGTTGCCAGGTGGCTTGCGTATGTGTGTGTGCATGCGTGTGTGTGTGTGTGCGTGCGTATGTGTTGGCATGTGTGTCTGTGTGTGTCTGTGCGTGTGCACTGTGTGTTCTTTCTCTGTGCTAGCTCAGCTCTGGGCAGAGAGCTCCTTCAGCAGACCTAGCCAGCACTGCGCAGTGTGTTTAAGTGCTGGAGGCTGCAATGTGGCTGCCTCTGTAGCGCGGTTTGGGCTGCTCGGTGCTTGTCAGACCATTCGTTCGGCAGGCTGCCATGTTGCTTACCCAGGCTGTTGACAGAGCCATGCAGTCTAGACACACCCCAATAGGCCACAGGCCTGGTTCGATGACAAGGCACCCTGGCTCTGTGGTTATGCTAATACATGAGTGCCCCGTGGCAAGGAACGGCTCACTCAGCGGGGAACTTTCTGCTGCCCCCTCCGCTGAACAAAGAGTGCCAGCTAAGTCCCCTGACATTGCTAGACTAAAACACACAACTGACACACACAGCGTGCACACCAACTGGGGGACGCCACGGCAACCACTTCCCTCCCCTGGTTTCTGATGTCTGATCATTGCTTTGTCAAGCTACCTTACCTTCTGCTAGGCTGGGATGAATCTAGGGTTGCCAGGTGTCCGGTATTGACCCGGACAGTCCGGTATTTTCGCCTCCTCTCCGGTAAAAAAAATTCAGAAAATAGCAGACACCTAAAATGTCCGGTATTTTCTGATTTTTTTTTCCCGGCCAGAAGGCGAAAATACCAGATACCTGGCAACCCTAGCGCCTGGGCCCGGGCCCGGGCCCAGCCCCCGG